TTAACAATACAATAAACATAAAGGTAAACTTTACTAAATTTTCCAAGGTATGGTTGTAATGGTCTGTCCTGTCCGGTTCAGAGGTAAGCCCCACTCACTCCCTTCCCTGTCCATTGAGGCAAACAAATCTTCCTTCTGCTTCCAGCCTGAGCTCCTTCCTTTCTGTCTCTCTCCCAGAGGCAGCTTCTGCCTTTCTCCCTTCTCCTCACTTCTCCCCCCCTTCTCTTTCTTAATATCTTCCTCTCTCTCTCTCTCTCTCTCTCTCTCTCTCTCTCTCTCTCTTTCCTCTTCTACCTTTTCCCCTTCCCTCCTTTCCCTTTCCCCTCCATAATCCATTAAATAAATACCCACTTTCTCTGCGTGGAGTGCCTAATAGGTCTCTGTCTCTCACCCACCAAGTAGCTCCCTGCCTGGGATCGGCTGCCTTCATGGCCCACCATGGTCTCATGCCTGCTGCCCACTGCCACCACTCAGGGCCCTGTAGCATTTTATTTAATCATAACAATGGTAAAACAGCCCGTTTGGCTAGTGTCATATGGCAGATGAGAGACAGACAATTTGGAAAACATGACAATGAATTCTTGAAAAGGAAATAGTGAATAAGGGAACCAAGCATCCACCTCCTTGTCCCTTCTGATTCTATGGGAATGAAAAGTGGTAGAAGTCTTGCCTCTTATGTCCAAGGACCTGAGTTCAATCCCCAGCGTTTCATGGAGACAAGGAAACAACAAAAAAAAAAATCAAGACTGGCTTAGATCCCTGCTTTCAGCCTGTAAACCCTGAACAGCCATGGTTCTGGGAAAAACAATCTAGAGAGGGATGGCTGTGTAGAGCAGTGAACAAGAGATGGAAGGTGATGTAACACACGTCAGGACTGAAGGAGAAAAGATGTAAGGTGAGACACTCTGGGTGTCTTCTATCCTAGACTTTCCTATCTTCCTGCCGCAGCCAGTTTTCAGAACCACAGCTATTTGGCTAAAAACCAGTAGAATCCCAGATTTCTCTATGTCTTATACATTCTAAATCAGGGCAGGACCCTATAAGAAAAATGGCATAAAATTTGCAAAATTAAATATTTATCTTTTTAGAGACAGGGTCTTATATATCCGAGGTTAGCCCTAAGCTTGCTATGTGGCCAAACATAACCGTGTGTTTCTTATTCTCCTGCCTCTGGGATTACAGCTTGTGCTGATACTCTGAATTTTATGGGATTCTGATGACTGAACACAAGGCTTCAGGCACACTAAGCATTGACCAGCAGGGTTGGAGCTCTAACTCGAGGGTCAAAGGTTGAGAAAGGACTGAGCAGTGAGTTGTCCTGACCCTAAGGTAAGGCCCAGACACTAATGTGGGCTCCTAAAAGGAAACAACTCATTTTTTCCTCTCACGGCCTTAACTTCAGGTAGCCAGTAAGTAACCCCAGGTTTAGGGACTGAGACAATGAAAAGTTAACTATAAAAATATTAGGTTTTGGGGGCTGTAGAGATGGCTCAGTAGTTGAGAGCACTGACTGCTCTTCTAGGGGATTCAGGTTCAATTCCCAGACCCACATGGCAGCTAACAGCTGTCTGTAACTCCAAGATCTGACACCTTCACAAAGACATACATGCAGGCAAAACACCAATGCACATGAAATAAAAAATAAATAATTGAAATATATATTAGGTTTTGAGGATCAGAAGGACAAAAGAAACTATTATCTCAGAATTAGAGAGCTCATGAATAATGTATTTCCTACTTTGGTGTCCTTGTGATTTCAGTAGCCACTGACAGCTGCACCAGAAGGCCAACTGCACCCGCCATGCTGCAGCCACTGTCTGACAGCTGCACCAGAAGGCCAACTGCACCTGCCATGCTGCAGCCACTGTCTGACAGCTGTACAGAAGACCAGCTACACCTACCATGATGCAGTTTGTCTAACAGCCATATTGCAATTTATTTTCATATTGTTTTTCTCCGAGACCCACCAAATGGGTTTAATCATCTATTCACAAATTCTAACAGCGGCTTCTATTTAGGCATCAACATGATTATAACTCCTTTAAAAGCCAAGGTACGTAGGCATTCGAGTTTTATGTGGGCTCTGAGCTACATCAGATTGGAGTCAATAAAGGGTAATTAATACAGTATAGCGATCCTTTGTTTATTAAATATGTTAAATGGAAGAGTCTCTCTGGGGCCTGCAGGGAGCTAAGATCGGATTGCAGTGAGCAAGAGGCCCAGGATGGCGGGGACGATCCGCTCAGGCCTCAGGCTCCATGGCCTCTGCATCTGACTGCCCTTTCCTGACTTGATGGCTTTCTAATGCATTGATTGACTGTGATTAGCTGACCTTTGTCCTGTGTCCCTAGAAGTGGCCCCTCAGACTTTTTCACCTCTTTATCATGACCACTCTCAGACACATCTTGTGTCACACAGAACAGCCTTGCTGTGGAGCTGTGGGTGCATCCGTCCGTGATGACCTCAACTCACGCTGGCCCATTCAGCATGACACACACATTCCTCTCTGGAGATGCCAGCAAGGACAGTTAGCTAACCTCTGCACTCTGTCTCTTTCTTGATGAGCCCCTAGTTTTCAGTGTCCACGTTTCCCTCTGTATCCTGTCCCTTTCTGGCATCCCTAGCTTACCCATAGTGACCTCGGTACTGTTAGCGACCCTCATTGACCTGGCCTTCCCTGGAAAGCTCCTCATATGTGGGTGCCTCGAGCTTCAAAGTATTCACACAGAAGCAGATGAGAAGAAATAAAATAAGAAATCATCTGTCTGATAAACTTTGAAAATGGCCACGTGACATAAAAGTCCTTCAGTGCTTCCTGCACATTAGCATAACAAAGTCTCAGCCAGTCCACAGTAGACCGCCTCAGAAGCCCATTCACCAGGCGAAAGCCAGTTTGGGAAATACTGTCATTGGTTAATCTTCCTGGTCGGTGGGCAAGTTGAAGGTCACCCAGGAAATGGACAAGTTGAAGGTCACTGACGGTCACCTTCAGGCCTCACACAGGCTGGACTGCTCTCTCCAAGGGCAGTGGTTTACAGCAGGCTGTCTTAGGCACAAGAAGCAGCTCCGGCCCTCCTTGTTGGCAAGCTCTTAGGGCATCCAGGGGAGTGGCCAAAAGAATTTTTCAGTTTCACCATATGTTTATATAAGCATATGTTTAAGCACCATATGTTTACGCTGTAAGCCATCATTTTGGATCCTGAGAGAAGGGGATAAAAACCAGTTTTTGCTGCCTCTGGAAGCATAGTTCGCTGGGAAGAGAAAGCAGTACTTAAACATGCTGGTTGAGTCAGTGAATGAGTCTTGATATAAGCAGTAAACTAAAATATCATATATATATATTTAAATTATCATATATATTTAGTTATTTGTGTGTGGGGGGGGGCACACAAGGGTGTGAAAGTCAGAGGACCATCTGCAGGAGTCTCCTTCTGCCACGTGAGGGCAGTATACCAAACTCAAATCACCAGGCTTGGCAGTGAGGCTTCCACCCCACGCCATCTCTACAGCCAATCAACAATACAGTTTTGACCGACACTTAACAGAAGCTAGATGACCCCCACACCAATTTTAATGCAAGTTCAAATCTTAAATCCTCTTTTTTCTTAGTACCAGCATCCTTGTCTCATCTTGCAGAATAAGTAAGCTCTTCTCATCCACATAGAATCAAATAGATTCATAAAATACCAACCAACTTATACGCAAATGCTCTCTGTGCTTCCAAATGGAATGTTTGCGTATCTTTTCATAGTGGGATGACTTCACATCTACTGCAGGTATTTTTCTCAAGCTGTGTGTCCAATTTTCTCTTTGTGTGTTTGCATGTGAGGTGAGTGTTTAGGTGACTTGCCCTTGTGCGGGGGAGGGGGGGAGGGACACGTGCAGATATGTGTTATTGACAGGCGGCCACAAGACAAGCCTGGGCATTGCTTGTGAGCTCTCCACCTTATTTTGAGAGGACAGTATCTCTCACTGGCCTGGGGCCCACTAGGTTGGCTGACCAGTGAGGCCCAGGATCCACCTCCCCACTGCTAAGATTATGAGCACACATCCCCATGCCTCGCTTCTTTACATGGGTTCTGGGGCTCACATTCTGAGCCTCCTGCTTGCGTGGCAAGCGCTTTACCACCTGAGCTATCTCCTCAGCCCTGACTTGTTCTTTATATTCTATTATTTTGTCTGTTGTAATATATTTTTACTTTCGGTAGGCACACGCCTACGCTTGCATATAGTGCGGAGTAACAGACTTAGAAACTTCATTTGTGAAAGCGTGTCCACCAGGGTCCCTGTCTGAATTAGGTCAGTTCACACCAGGGTCATGAACAGCAGGCAGGGGACTGGGCTTCTGCTCAAACAATGCTTTCGATGGTACGAAGGCAACGCCAAAAGTGGTCCATCCTCATCCTGTCCTTGTGTAACTTCAAGACAGATGAAAGCCAGTGATAAAGGAGTCAGCTGAGTGCCACTGCCAGAGCTGGAACCCAGCAGTAGTGGGTGGCTCTGGAGAAGCTCCAGTCCCAGGTCAGGAGTTTTCTTGTTTGTAATTTGATGTGGTTGGAATGGAAGCTGTAAATTTTTATAACTCTACTAAACAACTTCCTGTTGTTTTAAAAGGGCCTCTAAATGGTATTTGGTTAATTAAGCACTAAAATTTGACTAAATGAGAATGCCCTTCCCAGACTTCAAGTTTCAGCCTTGTCCCTGGTACTGGAGCAGCACTGGCCCCAGGTATACAGCATAAGAGTGGCAAGGGGCAGCTCTCAAGGAATCATGGGAATAGCTGTGCCTGCACTGTAGCCTTCCTGAGGACATGCATTTATTAGACACAACACATGGGCTTTAGAAAGATGGCAAACTGAATCATTTAGAGTAAATACAACACTCAATTTTCAAAGATCCACCTAGCCGCGCGTCAGAAAAATGCTTATTGGAAAATCTGAAGCGAAGGTGGCGGACAATTATTCCCATCACCTCGATATTACCCAGCAGCCTTTGCTTACCTGCACTTTGGCAGGGACTGTCCCAGGCACCTGGTACCTCAGCTCATGCGCAGTAGTTTGAGACTTGGGAAGCAGGAAAGGGTAAGAAAGGGAGCGGTATTTTGGCTTCATAATCTGAAACAGGAAAGTCAAATTCAAAAAAATTCAAATGAGAAAAGAAATCCATTATTCTTTGCTTTGAAGTGGAAAAAGAAATGCAGGTTCCTGGGAACCAAAAAAATTATAAGCGACTATTTCTACGTTCAAAGCTGGAAGCTGCCTTTGTTTTCTGTGTTCACAGTTCTCTTTTCCTCGTGCAGCAAGCACACATTCTTTTAATATAAAGTTACAGCAACATGTAATTGCAAAGCTGGAATTCTTATTCTGTGGGCTAATGTTTCGCTGGGCTGAAAATGTCTGACGACAGCAATTAGGCACGATTTCATTTTAAACAACTTCACAGTAAAACAGGAGGAAGAATCAGGTTTGGTTCATATTACTCAGGAATTCGGGAGCTCATCTGACACCCAATAGAACTCTGGAGGCTAAGGCAGGAGCAACACTGTGAGGTCTGGGCCAGGATGGGCTACATAGAAAGTCTGTCTCAAAAACAAAGCTTTTAGTACTATTAATTGGCATTTTAACTAATTCTAGCAGTGTTTGAACCATTAGAAGTGATGTGAAAATACTTTTTTCTGGGAAGGGATTTTATAGCTAAAAATATTATTGAGAGTTTATCCTATTAGGAGCAGGGCACGGGGGTATAGAAAAAATAAACTGTAAATATCAGCAATATTTTTATTTTTGGCAGTACAGTAGATTAAAAATAATATTGTGCAGGTCAGTGGTGGTACATGCCTTTAGTCCCAACACTTGGGAGGCAGAGGCAGGAGAATCACTGTTAGTTCAAGGCCAGCCCAATCTACAGCGCTAGTTCCACGACGGTCAGGGCTACACAGAGAAACTCTTGCCTTGAAAAACCAAAAAAAAAAAAAAAAGAAAAATAAAGTGATACTGCTTTGCTTACTCATTCATCCCCTCCAAACTTGAATTTAAAATAAAAAATTTGCAGCTTTTATATGAACGATTAGTAAACTGATACCCTGTTATTCACGGAAGTACTCAGCTGGGCCCCTTTTCCAGTTATCAGGATAAACAGCCTCATTATTTTAAGTAGATGCAGCAGGCCCTTAACAGCACCATTGGCTTGGCCAAATTTCTGCAGGTTAGGGTCTTACTCTTATAGAAATGGTAGCTTGTGAGTGAGTTCTATCTAGAGAAAAGAAATGGCTCCAACTCATTGGCATTCCCTGTTCAAAGCCAGTTCCATGGTCCTATGCCAGCACGTGGCCAGGACAGGCCAGGATCAGAAGGTACTTTACAGCTGAGCCCCTATTTAACACGCCCCACAGACCCTATAATAGTCGTCCACATGCATGCTTGTAGAAGGAGTGGTGGGCCGCTTCCTGCCGCCCGCCTCCTAGCTAGCTTTACATTTGAAATAATTACATGGAAACTGTATTCTTTTAAACACTGCTTGGCCCATTATCTGTAGCCTCTTATTAGCTAACTCTTACATATTGATCTAACCCATTTCTAATAATCTGTGTAGCACCATGAGGTGGTGGCTTACCAGGAGGATTCTAACCTGTAGCTGTCTCGGAGAGGAGAGTCATGGCGACTGCCTCATTGCCTTCTTCCTCCTAACATTTTGTTCTGTCTACTCCACCTATCTAAGCTGCTGTCCTATCAAAAGCCAAGGCAGTTTCTTTATTAACCAATAAAAGTAACACATAGACAGTTAACCCTCCTCCATCACATGCTGATCTGTCTCTGCAAATACTTAACACTTCTGTTTTAAGTTCACAGGCCGTGACTGCCGCATCTATCCCTCTACATTCAGAGCTGTCTGTCATAGCACTCCAAAACACAGTCTGCTTTCTTGTAGTGCTCTGAAGCCCAGCACTATGACAATGATAACCCTAACAATAGATGGTGTCACAGATGTGGCCACAGCAGCCCTTTCCTGCCAACCCTCTGATCTTCACCTTGGCCAGGCACAAACGTGGCCAAGTCACAACATTGGTACCTTGGTGAAGTTCCAGCGCTGGATAAAGTGACGAGCCACATCACGAGCTGCCTTCCCGTGGACCACAGAACCAATATCGTGCCAAGGCATCCGGGGGGTGGAGTACCTGTCAATGAAATCTGCCCGGAGCACCAGGCAAGGACCCATCACTAAGTTCGGTGCCAGAGAACAGAAATACTGACCTCAACTAGGATACAACACAGTCATGGTCAAAGGAAACAGATCTTCAGAAACTTGAACCATCCACCCACTCCACTGAATCTAATATATGCTCAGTACTAATCTGCAGACAAGGCAAGGTGTGATGGGGTTTCCCGTTTGATCTGTGGGAATAACAGTAGGCTATCTGTATACACAAGCACCATGCTGGGCACCTCTCAAGCATAGAAGCACGGTCATTATCTAAGACCCATCCCTCAGTGAAGGAAGACAGAGAGAATAAATACAAAAGAACCAAACGAGGGCGACAGTTCGTTTTTTGCCCTGAAACACAGCTGTGGAAAATTGGGAAGTTTTCTTCTCACAGCTACAGGGAAAACACTCACACGGGTATGACCAAATCAGACCTCCAGAATTCAACACAGCCTTGAGGCTCTTCCTTCTCACTGGGGATCTGGAGGTAGTTAATAATGGCCAGGGGAGGGAATGACATTTCCTACAGTGGTTAGCCACTTGTAAAAGTCACCTATGCTTCTATAAGTAATTCCTTACCCACGCTCTTGTAAGCAAACCCAATTAAACTCACTGAACCATCAAAAGTAGAAGCGTTTCTAATTGGGAAGAAAAGGGGACCAATGGGAATGGGAGGGGGGAGGGCAATGGAGGGGGTGGATAGAACCAAAATAATGTATGTATGTGTGTATGTATGAAAATGCCATAATGAAATTAATCATCACATATAATTAATAAATGTAAATGCAAAATTTCAATAAACAAACAGAAGGGACTTAGATCATGCACATACATACTTGCTGAGATGCCCCAAAGTGTAAAACAGAATGGAACCTCAGCCGCCCTCCTCCCCAGTACTCACCAGCAAAAGGCTTGTCCAGCTGAACCCAGTCCTTGAAGACAAAGTTGCAGTAATCCTTCCCGTGCCAAAACCTGGTCTCCCCATGTAGCTCTCCCACGCCTGTCTGCACGCTTCGGATGGAGCCAGTATCTGTGAACATTGCAACATTGGCTCAGAGACAGAGTTGGGCAGGTCCTGCAGAGGGACCTCCTGACCCTAACACTCCTTTCACCCTCACTTTTCTTCCTGGGTCCTGTCACTAGGACAGCCTAAGTCCATTGAATCAGGACTGTGGGTTGAGGTAGGATTCCAACCCTCACAAGATTCCCTTTAGGTAGCAATGAAGGCCCAAACAAGAGTTATCTGCTAACTTGGAAGTTAACGTTCTTAATAATTGAGTAGCTTATTCTCAAAGCCTACTAGGTCAGGGAGAATAGATCACAGAATATATTATAAAGAAAGAATTCCCCAGGTGGGGTTCCAAGAGAACACTATAGCCAGGTGAGTAGGGGGTCCACTACACAGAGGCAGCAGGAGCTAGGCCACCTCTTCCTTTACCAATATGGTGGATACTTCATGCCTTTCTCATCTCAAAAAACATGAGTCTCATATTTAGACAGTCCATGTTCCAGCCCCAGGATTATATAGCTACATGGCACCAAGCTCCTACATTTGGGGTCATAAAGCCTTCCGTGTAAAGAATATGATTTAGCCTAGATGACGACTGAGATCTTTCCATCTTTAACAAACATCATCCATAAAACACAAAGACAAATGCTTACAACTGAGGCACTAAAGCAGCAGCTGTACAGCCTCCCACAAAGAGACGAACGGATCACTCTACCTAAGAACAGATACCGAGTTAAACAGCACCAACATTTCAGGGGTGTGTCAGTCATAAAGGAAACAAAGCAGGGGAGAAGCAGACTGAAATCACAAATGCAGTACTTGCACAAAGGGGGCATTAGGCAGGCAGGCATGGGGCGCAAGAATGCTTGCTAAAGAAATTATAATAGAACCACTTGAAGTAGCCAATGAGAGGTCTACTGGCCACCATACACTATCGCTGCCATAGCACCTGAGCTGTCATTGTAAACTGTAAAGTTGTTTAAAAACCTCTCCAGAGCATCGACAGGTGGTTCAAGTGCTAAGGGATCAGTGTGTGTGGGAGCTGCTTCCCAGGCAGCTGTCTGTTATTTCCTTCCCCATTTCCCTTCGCTGAGCCCCAGGCGTCAGCATGCCTCCTTCTTCACTGTATTGTGACAGGATGATCCACCTTGCCTTTGTGCAGTCTGCATGATACTCATTCTGAACAGATTACTCTTCTCTCTCTGCGGCCTGATCTTTTAAGCTTCCATTATGAGCCATATCATTCTGGCCTCAAGAGAGACAGACCGGACCCGTGCCGGCAGGGGCCTCACCAGCACTGATGCTGTCCTGTCTAGATCTTCCCAAGCCCTTTGACCAGGCCATGCGATTGCATAAAACGCTGAGTGGATATCCCTCCTCCAGGAGCCTATACACTCAGAGCAGGCACCATAGCCCTTTACCACCTGCTGCAGCTCCCAGTATCTAGGAAGGCATTAATAAATGTTTGCAGAACAAATATTTAATGCAGTAACCACACACCTAATAATCTATCTCAAAATTAATAATTAACTTTAGAAAGATCATTAAATATGCTGTATGAAAAAAATGGTTTAAATTGTCAATGTCAACAAAAGCAACTAATGTTTGAAGCAGACTTCACTGTCTTCTCCCAGCCGTTGGCTGTCCTGCTGTAGACCCCTGAACGGAAAGAGCGCATGCGGGCTGTGTGCTGCCCGTAGGCTCTTCCTAGAAGCATGGATACTGTCGGGAAGCCAGGCTTGTGAGAGGGACAGGGACAGTGAGAATATAGACGACCATGAGTCAATCCCAAATTTACAATACACAGAAACAGAGAGGTGGCTGAGTAGATAAAGGGACCCGTGACCTAGCCTGGGGCCCTGCATCAATCCCAGGATGCACGTGGTGAAAGAACTGACTCGACCAAATTGTTCTCTAATCTCCACAGGCCTTGTCGTGTCACATAGGCAGGGGTGCAGCCTCCCCCACACAGTAATAAAAAATTAAAAAACACAAACATGTAAGAATTAAATTTGAGACACAATATTAGTCGTGTGTGGTGATTGCAGATATACACATACATACAGTTGATTTTTCATCAGCCTGAGAAATGAAGCTGAGACCGTAACACGGACACCCATACACTTGTTGAAATATTAAGATAATTATAATAGTTGGTTATCATTTGACAGCAAAATGAAAGTAAATTTCTAGTCTCAGAAAACAACCCTGAGAATAACTGGATTCAGGTGCCCACAATTCAAACATACTTTTGTTTCTAGCCAAGGCTCTACTATGCCGAGGAACAGCAGTCCTCCCAACACACAGAGGCAGCCCAGCACACGTGGATATCCCAGCCATATCCGGCTCCGGAATGACATCCTCACAGCTGCATCTTTTATCCGTGGATGCCTCGTGCCAGGTTTCCGCCCCCTTGTCTGTCGGTAGCCAAAGTTTGCGGCAAGAACATCTTCCTGTTCCTGCTGTGAGTCTCCAGGCCTTGACAAGTCGCCTCTTTGTGTCACACCTAACACTAAAACTGCCAGCATCCTATAGCACCAATCCCTCTGAGGGTGACTCTGACCTGGGCATCTCCACCACTCTGCTCAGCAATCCTCCTCACATCCTCCCCTTCACCACTTCTAGAACCATAGGGACGTCTTAATAATTCTGGAAATTTCCATCTCTTCTAGTCTTGAGCACATTGTCACAACCTTGTAAGATCCCTTTACATCAAGTATATCATTCATGAACTTCTCCCTTTAGCCAACCTCCGCCATAGGGCTCCCCAGCATTTTTTGACTTAGACTTTCAGCCTGACTCATTGGAGCCTCCAAAATTGATCCAGATAGACTCCATTGGCCCAGTCTATATGAATTAATCCTTAACCACAAGTTCCCCAACCCTGAAATCCCAATGTGTGTTCATGGTTCACTTGTTATCAGAAGTTAACCTGAACTGTCAAGGAAGTTTTTCCAACTGCATTGCCCAACTCATGCTGTGCACGAATGGAGTCTGTTTACATCCCTGATTGCACTGTCCCCACTCATGTGCACACACATGGAGTCTGCTTACATTCCTTGACTTCATTGTTCCCACTCATGTGTACACACATGGAGTCTGCTTACATCCCTGACTGCATGTATATCTCTGTGGGTTTGTCCCACTGCCTAAGTTTGAGAACTGAAAACAAGTACTTCTGGTGTTCATTTCCAAATCTGGAGTAGGAGGGCCTTCTCTCTTTGTGTTACTTTCATTGGTCAAATAAAAAAACTGCCTTCGCCTTTTGATCGGACAGCAGCTTAGATAAGCGGAGTAGACCAAACAGAATGCTGGGAAAAAGAAAGCAGAGTCAGGCAGACGCCATGGCTCTCCTCTCCAAGACGGACGTTGGTTAGACTCATGCCGGTAAGCCACAGTCAAGTGGCGATACAGACTATTGGAAATGGGTTGAATCAATATGTTAGAGTTATCCAGTAAGAGGTTAGATATAATGGGCCAGGCAGTGTTTAAATGAATACAGTTTCCATTTGATTATTTCAGGTGTAAAGCTAGCCAGCAGCCAGGCGGCAGGAACGCAGCCCACCGCTCCTTTTACAACACAAATCTGTGCCCTAAGAACATTATCCTGAAACAATGCTTTCTCCTTTCTTAGTCTCTACCTTCTAAGGTTTTTTTTTTTTTTCTGTAGCATTAGGGCCTCATATGTGCTAGGCTGGCAGGCACTCTACCACTGAGCTACAATGTCAATATCCTATCTTTTGCATCTATATTCATATCCAAGGGCAGTCACAATCCAGGTCCTGAATGAGTAACATGGTTTTGAAAATGTTCATTTTCAAACTTTCTAGATTTCCAAGTGTCTGTGAGGATTTGTGACTTTGTCTTGGTTGCGCCCATTAAGGTTTCACCTGTAGCAAGAGTACTGACCAGTGTGCTAGTTGGCAAAACATTTCAAAGTATTTCACGATCAGCTAGCAGACAATAAGCTGGTTTTCTTTAGTTTTTTTGCTTTGTTGCGTCTTGCTTTGTTTTCAGACAAGACCTATCTAGCCCTAGCTGGTGCTAAACTCCCTTCGTAAGCTACACCAGGCTGGCCTCGAGTTTGTCACAGTCCTCTGTCTCTGTCCCCCAAAGGCTGAGACTGCAGCTATGTGCTACCTCGTCTGCCTGACCTAAGCTTCTTGAGGGAAGATGAAGAGGCTTATGCATTACAATCCAGAGAAGTCTGGAGAAGTTCATACCTTATTACCGTTAGTATCAACCGATCACTGATAATGGGGAAACCCGCTTACTTAATCTGCCCGGCATTACAAAGGAGAGCTCAGCAGATGTTCCCCAAATGTGAGAGCAGTCAAACTCTGTATTTAAAATAGTGTTAGGCAAAGCAATAGCCCCCTGGAAGTCTCCTTAGAACATAATTTTGAAAAGACAAAAAAAAAAAATCCTTGAGGGTGGCTAAGTGCTTTTTGAATTAAAATACATACTACAGAATCTACCATGGTTACTGAGCTCATTAAAAGGAATCACATTTAGTGTAGTCTTCCTGTTTGAACCCTGCCAAGCTCTCTCCTGTGTTGGGAACACAGAACCAAGATCCTTGTGCCCACAGGTCTCCAGAGAAACCAAGAATGTTAAGCACACAGGATTGTCTTTCCAAAGGGAAAGATGAAAACCCTGCTCTTCCACCCAGAAAGCTGAGAATTGGGGATGACAAACAGCCAGGTAACCTACATTATCTGTAAGCCAGGCCACATTTAGCTCTTTCAACCAGGACCCTTATAGCCAGGGGCTCCCCAAACTCCCAAAGCCAGGACCAGGCATGGCTAATAGCCCAAACGACTTCTACACTGTGTGACTGACAGCTACTACAGATAGGCTAGTCTATCTTTAAAACCCATCTTCTGGGAAGAGATGACATGTAACCTAAGTTGAGTTTCAATGTATTTATGCTACTTAATGCACCAGAAATTGTATTACACCAGGATTTTTTTTTTTCAAATTATACTGGGTTTAAACACATTGGGAAGAAACTTGATGAGGGAGTCCCCTCTGTGTACTGTGATTACCATTAATGAATAAAGAAACTGCTTTGGACCTATAGAAAGGCAGAACTTAGGTAGGCAGGGGAAGCTAGGCTGAATGCTGGGAGAAAGAAGGGTAGAGTCAGAGAGAAGCTGTGGAGCCACTGCCAGAGTCAGACATGCCAAAACTTTAGCGGGTAAGCCACAGCCACGTGGCGATACACAGATTAATAGAAATGGGTTAAACTAACATAAGAGTTAGTCAACAAGAAGCTAAAACTAGTGGGCCAAGCAGTGATTTAATTAATACGGTTTCTGTGTGATTATTTTGGGTTTACACTAGCTGGGTGGCAGGGAACCAACAAGCAGCTCTCATCTCCAGCAGAAACTGTCTCTTTTTAGACTCCCCGGAGTCAGATCCAGGTTGACACAGTCAGTCTGCACCTTGTTTTCATACTTATCTCTTTGTGCCGTTCACTTTCCTGCCTGGACACCTGCAGGGACCCCTTACACCTGCACCCTGCATTTTGACCTCTGCAAGGCAAGGTGTCCTAAGAGTCCCTTCCATGTGACTATCTGTGTACTGTTTAACACTATCCATTGACTTCCCCAGAGATGAAATTCTTGGTATTATAAGTACCATGCACTAGCCTATTGTGCCACTAGAGCATCCATCCTAGAGATGAAATTCTTACAGTAGCCTACAGAGCTGCCTAGAGTCCATCCAGTCCCACCTTCTTGCTTTTCTAACATTCCCATCTCCACAGCCATATTTCTAGAACGTTCCAATCATCCCCCTGCCTTGGGTTCTTTGAAATTGTTATTGTTCCTGCTTAGGACACTTCCCCAGATAGTTTCTTATTCTCCTCCTCTCCTTCTTGAGCTCCAGGGGAAACTCAACTTGTAAGAGCACTGTTCTTTATTTAGGTTGTATAGAATAGTTATTCATCCCTCTGCTTTCACACCGTTGGTCTCCACTAGAATAATTATCACTGCCTGAAATACTATGTGCAACAGTCTGTGTGTGTAACCCCCATCCCTACTACATTAACTTAATTCACAGTAGTTAGGACAGGGTTTAGTATGTCACAGGAGCTTAGTGCATATATGTTCATACAAAGGGACTGGAAAAACGTTTCAGTGATTAGGAGCACAGGCAACTCAGGTCTGGCTTCCAGCATCCACCAGAAACACACACATAATTAGAGCTAAAAATAAATCTTTAAAGAACTATGTGAGCTTCTGCTTTAATGGCTGCTGGGTCTCATTAAGGATGACCCAACTGCCTACTTCCTTATCATCCCCAGAGGCTAAAATTTGAGTTGTTTACTTCCTTCCTTTCTCTTAAAATAAACAAGTCACCAGGAGGAGGCTGAATGCATACAAGGACACTTCCCAGCAGCATCCCGTCCTAGGCCACCACTGTGGGTCTCACGCCCTCCACCAGGGGTTGGCCTAATGTGCCAGAGCCTTTCAGCTCCACTTGCTCCCATCCTGCACTCACTAATGGCCAATGTGCAGAGTCTTTCACATTTCGGCAGCCTCAGTCTCCCATCTCACTTTGAACCTCACCTCTAAAGCAGTAAACACACACATACCAGAAAGCCACTTTCCAGGCCCACCTTAATTAAAAATTCTTCTTAATATCTATAGCTGCAGGTACTCTGTCTTGGTCCCCTCGGTTACCCAAAAGCTTCCAGACCTCGGAACATTGAGGCGCACACAGGAGCAGACATAAATGAAAGCAACCCCTAAACTCATATGCCAATCAAGAACTAGCCTTATGTTAAATAACTATAATATAATGTTTTCCATTTTTAACTGTGTAACAATATTGCTTAAATTTACGCTGTGCTTTGGTACGTTACATACAGTCAACATATTTTAAAAATTGCTATGTCTGGGTCCATGTGATGGCTTAGGAGATAAAGGTGCTTTATCTTTATCTTTATCTTTATCAGGCCTCAAATCTGGAGGCCTGAGTTCAATCCCTTGTGAAACAGACGACCAACTCCTACAAGTTGTTCTCAGACCTCCACACGGTCACCACGGCCCAGCATACACATATACACATATGAAATCAACACATATGATTAAAAACAGTTGAAAAGCTAGATTCCTAAAGAATGCTGGAACCACTCTCACTCTTCAAGCGTCAGCCTTACTAGTCAGGTCCCCTGGAGCTTCATCCTGGCAGTCAGCTGGGCTCCACTGTCCTAGCAGAGCAGAATCTTAGCCTGGGGATCAAGCCAAGGTCGAGACGGACAGAGTGCCTGCACTTCTCCTGGGTTTTACGTGTAGATACTGAGCAGGAGGCTGTGCTGAGCTGGGACTACACTGGGCAGTAACACTGTGCCAGCACAGTGTAGGTCGGGTTTCCTCATCTGTGGAAACCAGAGACACCCAGGGCAGTGAGGAGCCATCTGAACCCTCGGCTGCTGACTTATTGTAGTGACTCTTCATCCTTAGGTCAGATCAATTGCCAAAACCTCCTTCATTCCCACCCCCATACTTTAGTCCCTAAGTAATTCATTCTTCGCGTATCTGATCCTTCTCATAAAAGGTATCAGATAGCATTTTCTAACCAATCCACGTAAAACATGATAGTCCTATCAAAACTCATCATGATTTTTTTCAGCAAATGAAGTTGTATCTTCCCCTCTTTGTCCGAGTTTCTGTGTCTTGAATGTGTCCTCTTAACACCAGTCACTGTGCCTTGGCTGAACAAGGCTTGTCCTTAACAGTTACGGCATTGGTCTTCTCATGCCAGGGTCTTTACGGGGCTCCTTTCCTTCACCTTCAAAATCTTCCTGTCCTTGTCTACCCCCAAGTTACTGTCCCCTCCACCCCCAAGTTACCGTCCTCTCCACCCCCAAGTTACTGTCCTCTCCACCCCCAAGTTACTGTCAGGCCTACTGGACAAGCTCTCTTTTCAGAACGTTTCTCTAGTCAGCAAGAGGAAGTCCTGCCTTGCGCAGAGCTGGCTGTGTGTGCGCACGCATGCTACCACTAGAATGTAAGTGCTCCACCTGCATAAAGCAGGTTCTACCCGACATAAGAGGCAGGAAGACTGTGCAGAAAGCCGGTGCGGACACACACTCACTGTGCTCATGTAGCAGAGGAAGCGACAAAAGCCAACGACCATGGGGTTCTGACACTAGCGGGTCACTTACCAGTGCCGTGCCTAGTGAGTCCCTGCTCAGACTCACAGGAAAGGCGAAAGAGTTTCAAGTGGGGCTTTAAACCATGGATTAAATTCTGGTGACTTCTATAGTGGCTAGAATAACCTGGAGAAAGTTGAGAGTTCTTTTTTGTTTTACAAAGAAACATATTTACATATATGTGCATGTATTTGTATATGTTTATATTTGATATAGGTATCAAAGTTTCCAAACTCAAAAGCAAGCGTAATAATTTTTAAAACAAGCAAGTCTATAGAATCAGTCATTAGGTATAGTGTGATAAGGAATAGTAAATTCTTAAGATACAGAATATCTGATTTCTACTAATACGAACAATATATTTCTGGATGAAAAGAAAACTTTCTTCTACAAAAGGTTTTTGAAGTATACCTGACGCCTTAATTTCACTTTGCAGCTTGTCATATTTTACAAAGCTTTAGTCATTATGTGACCATCAAAGATCAATAATAGCTGCTATGATTAGTTTGTGTTGAAAATAAATATGCTTTGTAAATGACGCAAAGGAGGCCGACATGGAGCTCAATTGGTAGTGTGCTTGCTTCCATACACAGAGCCCTTGGTTTAATCCCAGAACCTTGTAAAACAGGCATGGTGGTGCATGCCTGTGATACCAGCATGGAGCAGACAGGAGCCCAAGATCTGCCTCTCCTGCATAGCGAGTCTGCGACCAGCCTGTGTCACATGAGACCCTGTCTCGGAACACAAACAGTGCCAATGGTGTCACACAGGATGGCTTGGCAAACTAGAGGCATTATTCATGGAATGCCACCACAGCTTGATAAAAAACAGGTCAAGGGTCACAGCACAGCCAAGACAAGTTCTAACGCGACGAGACTCACTGGAGGCGCTGTCGATGCTGCTGACGCTGTCGGAGTTGTGCAGATGACGACGGTGCAGCTGTCGATAGAGACTAAATTTGGAGAACTTCCGGGGCTTGCCTATTCCTTTCAGCTTGCCGTCTATGTCGTCGGCACTCTTCAGGATGGGCTCATTTTTATGAGCTTCGTGATTACTCTTGAGGTTTAAGGATTCCATAGATTCTATTGTTGCTGCCTGAGAAAGTTATTAAATAAAAATTAAAAGGTCATGCATACAGTATTCTGCAATGGGCTCTCACTCAAGCAGAGCTGAGAGGCGGTTTATAAACAGATGGTCCCAGAACAGACTCTCCATAGAGTCAGGTCAGCCACAGGGCGGTGGTGGATTCCTGTGAGCGCTTTAGCTGTCCTGGAACTTTCTATGTAGATCAGGCTGACCTCAAGTTTAGAGATTCACCAACCTCTGCCTCCCACATTCTGGGACTATCGGTGCATGCCACCACACCCATCTAAAATTCCTGAGATTTCATTTCACTGACCCCCCCTTACCTCACACTAATTAGACTGTTAAAATTCAGCAAGAAGCTACACAACTCTGATGAGCTGACTCCCTTGGTCAGGCATGTTCCCCATTGCCATGGTTTGAATGTGAAGTCCCCCGCAGACTGAACACTTAGTCCCCAGTTGGTGGCAGTGTTTTGGAAGGCTTCAGGAGGTGGAACCCTGCCCGGGAAGATGAATTACTGGGGATGGGCCTTCAGGTTTGATGGCTTGTCATCTCCACACCTCCTAACTGTCCATGGAATGGGATGAGCAGGACCCCTGCTCCTGCCTCCACAACGTTAGCAGCACGGTGGACTGCACTCCTTAAGCCGAGGCTGAAACAGTCCCACCTCCTGCTTCCCATCAGATGTTTGGTTACAGTAATGAAGTGGATCCAGGCAGGGCATTGCTCATTCTCAATCCTCAAAAAAGCCAGCAGCATAGCCATCAGGAAATGAGAGGGGCCCCTGAAATCTTTGAATCCTTAACCATACTGCACCTGGGCCGTGTGGAACTGAAACAAAGCAAGGATTTTAGCAGCTCCTGATTAGCGGGTGCTTTGAGGAGTTATTAGTTAACTTCCTGCTCCAGTTTGCTCTAAGTGACCCCAGACTGATCGACTGACTTCTGTGTCCAGAAGCAGGAAAACACTAAAAACAAATGCCCGCCATAGCCGGGCACACACCCTCATAAGTGAATGAAACCCAGCTCCAGCAGCTGCCTGGGATGGGCTTCTTGCTCGTATTTCACTAGAGAACCGACTGAGATGACATACGCTATACAGAACTCACCCTCTCTTCCTGTAGGAGAGAAGCTGAGAGGCCAGGTTCCGGGTTGGGCAGGTTGTATAGACTATTACAGGAAAGTAGGCACATCCACCATATCTCCCGGTTGCCACCTCTGAATCACTGGGTCAATCATGGTATTTTATCGGGTTTAGACAAGCCTGTCGATGTTATGCCGTCCCTCAAAGGTGACGGGTACTTACTGCGAGAGAGCCCATGGACAGTCCTGAGGTGACCCGCTTCACACTGCCCACGTCGGTGAGTCTGTGTTCCTCGTCATCCCACCGCCCATAGGCGAGGTCAATCCCACCCACAAACGCCAGTGATTGGTCGATGATGACGAGCTTCTCGTGATGAGCCCACAGATAGACACTGGAGGACACGTGGTCTGGGTGCCTCATCACCTGCAGACGGGAGAAATCCACAGGGAATGCGAATTATAAAGCCCTTCCAATCACAGTAAAATAGGTCTGCTCTCCTGAGACCACTTCTAAAAGAATTCAGGTACAAAATGTGTTCTACACATGCCAAAGAAAGTCCCTCAAACTTCACATTTTAATCCCAGAATTAGCAGAGAAAGACTTCCATCTGGCTCTCTTTCTTTCTTCTTTCCTTTCTTCCTTCTTTCCTTCCTTCCTTCTTTCTTTCTTTCTTTCTTTCTTTCTTTCTCTCTCTTTTAAAGGACTATCCTCACTGGTCTTGAGAGTCTCTTGTCTCAGTTTCCTGAATCCTGGGATTCCAAGTGTAGGCCCCTATATGTGACCTCTTATGGCTTAAGTCCTCAGCCAGATGAGGTGGTTTGAGGAAGCGGTCATTTGACTTGAATGGAAACCATTAGAGCTATAGGTTCTCTTTCCACCCCCTCCAGTAGCTACTCTTGGTATAAATAAATTAATAAGTAAATGAGTAAGTCCTTAACCACCATGCACTGTGGAAAGACGTGTAACAAATTATGCTAGCATTCTGATGTTACAAACACACAGACACTGGGACAGCGCCTCATGTGAAGGAAATGGAGCTGTGGTAAACGGCTTGCAGGATGAGCCCCTAATGACCCCGTGTGACCTCTCTTATGTTTACGTTTGTAAGTAAGTAACAAAAATGTTGGCTAATGCTTTGATTTATTGTGGTAGAATACATGAAATTTGCCACATTTCCAATTCCTCTGTGCAGTTTTCCCAAGGCCATGAGCTAGCCAATCTTGAGGACTGCTGTTAGGGCTTGAAATGCTGGGTGGAATTCAGACAGGTGGTGGACGCACACGCCTTTAATCCCAGCACTTGGGAGGCAGAGGCAGGCAGATCTCTGAGTTAGCGGCCTACCTGGTCTACAGAGCTAATGCCAGGGCAGGCTCCAAAGCTACAGAGAAACCATGTCTTGAAAAAAGAAAGAGAGAGAGAGAGAGAGAGAGAGAGAGAGAGAGAGAGAGAGAGAGGAAGGAAGGAAGGAAGGAAGGAAGGAAAGAAGGAAAGAAGGAAAGAAGGAAAGAAGGAAAGAAGGAAAGAAAAGAAAAGAAAAAATGCCGGGCAGAGCTCATCAGAATGCAGCATTAGAATCACAAGAACCCCGTGCTTTTCCCTGAGAGTTTTCAGTTGTTGGTCACGATCCCCAGACTAGTTGCGCCTATCCAGATTTCATACCTTTTCCTGGGCTAGCCTGGACCGGTTTTGTGGGGGTCACCTGCTCCCACTGTGGACTTTCACAGTGGCTCCATCTTCACTTCTTGTCTTCAGAAACCAGAGGCTTTCCTTTTTCTCTTTCTTCTTCTGACTAAAGCTTTCTTGAACTGGTTGATCTTTCTAAACACTAACTTTTGGTCACTGATTTTTCCCCATTCTGCCTGTGACTGACGTGTCTGATCTTGATGTCCCTCCCCTGCTACCTTTAGGTTTGCTTTGTTCTTTTGTCTCAATTCTTTCTTTGGTGGAGAGACATCTAGGTTGTTTCCAGTTTCTGGCTACTAGGAACAAAGTTGCTATGAACATAGTTGAACAAGTGTCCTTGTGGTAGAATGGAGCATCCTTGGGTTGTATGCTCACGAGTGGGATAACTGGGTCTTGAAGTAGATCGATTCCCAATTTTCTGAGAAACCATTTGTTGTATTCTTTTCAGTTACTGATGTCACAAAATCAACACCCAGTGAATGAATGTTGAGAAGCTGTAAGTTGACTTATCCTGTGGGCTGATTTTTAATCAAGAAAGATACATAATTGTTACATATTTTAAACCTGTTAGAACAGAAGTCTTGTGTCTTGATAGTTGAATGATATTTATTGAGATTTTAGGTCTAATGAGATTTCTAGGAGCTTTTTCAAACATTTCACATTAGATACTGTTGATCTCAAACTATACAGGCTTTCAAACCCTAAAGGGAATCTCTTTATTGCTGTTAGCAATCAGAGAACTGGGTGGTGACGTTATGTCCAAGTGTTTTTGGTGTTTTCCTAACACAATGTGAAGAGTAGACAGAACTCATGAGTAAAATAGTGCAGGAACCATGCTATTGGCTCAACTTTCATCTCAAGTTGAAAAATGTAAGATCTACTCACCCCATCAACAGAGAATATAAGGAAATATTTTAGCTGAATAGAGGAGTCTCAGAAAAAAAAAATGTTTTTAAAGCATTCAGCATCCTTAGTCATCAAAGAAATGCAAATCAAAACCATTTAAAGATTTCATCTTGGTGGGCCGAATAGCTACCCTCAGGAAAACAAACAACAGTAAACGCTGGAGAGAAATGTGGGGAGGGGAGAGCGAAGCTTAGTTACTGCTGCTGGGGTAAACTGGTTCAGCCACTACGGAAATTAGCATGCAGGTCTCTCTAGAAATATACCTGGAGAGGTGGTGTGTGCCTTTAATTCCAGAACCAGAGAGGCAGGCAGGCAGGCAGGAGGATCTCAGAGGCCAGACTGAGCCACATAGAGAGTTACTGGCCAACCAGATTACAAATTGAGATTGTATTTAAAAGAAAGAAAGAAAGAAAGAAAGAAAGAAAGAAAGAAAGAAAGAAAGAAAGAAAGAAAGAAAGAAAGAAAGAGAAGGAGGAAGAAGAGGAGGAGGAGGAGGAGGAGGAGGAAAGGAAGAAGAAAGAAAGGGAAGAAACTAAAATTAAAACTGCCATAGGGCTCAGCTGCTCTTGGGTATATAAAGGACTGCGTTACACTGCACAGATTCCTGCATCCATGTGTCTTCTGTTCTATTCACAATGGTAAGCAAACGAAGCCGATCTAGGAGCCCATCAACAGACGGATAAAGACTGTATGGTATATATACACATACCTATATTCTATTTAGTAGTAACAAATGAAATAACAATATTTGCGGGAAGATGATGAAAAAGGAAACTACTAAAGTAACCCAGACCTAGAAAGACAAATACCAACTGTTCCCTCTCACATGTAGATCCTAGATTTAAACATTTCTATATGTGCATATCTATGGCATGTGAATAGGGTCAAGAAACTGGAGAGGGATTATGAGAAGGGAAGAGAAGTCTGAAGGGAACTGGGAGGGGGAGAAGAGGGTATGAAAATATGTGTGACATAAAAGTAAAATAAGGGGTACCCTGAGAAAGAAGGGGAAGGGGGAGCAAGAGTCTGGGCAAAGGAAATGGAGAAGGGGGAGCAATAGAAACAAGGTGTGGTTGACATACCCCTCCCTTTGTGAACTAATTTTGAACAGCAGAACAAGAAAGTATAATAATGTGTGCATTTCTGAGGATCTGACGCTGTTCGCTCAATATGAACACTCGGGTCATCTTTATGGGAAAGGCTGCTGTGGGGCGGTAAGCGCTGGGACCAGGATACCTTTATGTTGGGGTGCAGCCGCATCAAAGTCCGCTTGCTGTATTCACTGTTGATCCCGAGGGCTAGCTCCACCTCCTTGTAAAGCATGATGAAAATCCGAACACCTTGTTGCTGTCACGGGAAAACACGAGTGAGCACCGGGAGGGCTGTGCCCCGGAGGGCTGTGCCCCGGAGGGCTGTGCCCCACCTCCCTTCCTTCTTTCCCTGGCTTAGATCTCCTTTAGTCCATGAACTGGGATGGAAACAGTGAACAAACAGGCAGTGAGAGACATGGCATGCATGATGTCAAGGCACAAATAGAAAATCTAAAACTTAGGAGTAGTGGCAAATACTGGTTACTCCAGCACTGGGGAGGGGGAGTCAGGAGGAGCAGAGTTCAAGGCTAGCCTAGGCTACATATTATCTCACTCAGAAGAAAACCATCCTCCTTCCCTTTGTACAAGTTCATCACACGAGTGTTGGTATTGGATACTTATAGATCCAAGATGCAGTGGCCAACACCTCTGCTCCTAAAAGTGTCCAGTAGCCTTAGTGCCTTTCTAGAAAACCCCCAGCACTACTGCTCAGGAGAACTGCGACCTGAGCTAGTGTCAAATGCACCTGACATGTCTCAGGGTAGAGACTGACTGCCTTAAAAAATGATTTTAAATGGATAAAACACTTCTAAATCCTTAAAGAAGAGTGTGCTAGATCTTACACACAATTCTTAACATCTATGGTGCTAGCAAAAGGACTTCACTGTGGCAGCAGCTGTGTAACGTGTGTAATGAATGAACATGCATCTGCCCCTAGACTGTGGGTCAGAACAAAGGCAGGGTTGTTGGGGGCCCTGTCACTGTCAAACTAAGTCAGAAAGTGCCTGATGAACTACTGAGTTCACCATCTGACCAACAAGAACCATGTGTTTTCACAACACCACAACTTCAAATGACATTGAGTTCATGCTTTTAGGCAATAGATAATGGGGAGCCATAAATATTCAGTTTCCCAGTGTTATTCTGTCCACACTATATAGTGTGTGGGTTTTGTATAAGACCACATCACTTCATGAGTTAGTTATGCCTGAAATGAGTCTACAACTTTAAAAGGACACTAGATTTTCAATCAGGTGTTCGTTACATGTATTAGAAGATAAACCCTTGTTCTGAGAAAAAGAAAAAGGTCAAAATTAGTCTGTATGATACATACCCTTCACACTCTTGCATGTGGATGTACACACACTCACATAATTCCATTTCACTTACGAACACCTGGATATTGGAACTTACTTATTGCTTACTATAACTATTCAATTACTATTATAATCAAATATGAAAGGTATAAGTCCAGAGCTGACAAGCTGGTTTAGTAGATAAAGGTGACTATTGCCAAGCCTGGTGACCTGAGTTTGACCCCTAGAACCCATGTGGTAGGAGAGCTCCTCTACGCACATACTACAGTGACATGCGCACGCACACACATTAATACGTGTATATTTTAAAGAATGGTGAGCTGGAGAGAGGGCTCGGCAGTTAGGAGCATGTAGTGCTCCTGCCGAGGGTGAGCGTTGGTTCCCAGCACCCACATCAGGCAGCTCAGAGCTGTAGCTCCAGGGGATCCGATGCCTTCTCTGGCCTTCATAGGCACCATGAGCACGTACGCATGCTTACACAACAAACACATAATTAAAAACTAAAAATAAATATTTTAAAAAATATTATCAGACATATAATTTGAATATATATAGTTTGAATAAATAAATACGAACATAAAAATATAGGCAAGCAGGGAGCAGGTTAATTTTTGACGACCTGGCCAGTCAGTCCTCTGTAATAAACACTAACTGAGAGCTGGGAAGGAAAATTAGCTAATTTTTCACTTCTATCATTCAGCTATTTTTTCCTTTTTAAATATTTTAATTCTATGCTAAATAGAAGTCTTTCGGGGGGGAATATAATTCCAAGTTTATAACCCAAAACTGCAACCTGAATAGTGATTCTTATACCTGACATCATCCCTTATTTCAAATGGATGAAATTCTGCTTTTGTTTCTAGAGAGTGTTTCTCAAATTCTTTTGTGCATACGAGCAAGTATAGTGTATGTGCAGCACACATGCATCCCCATGCACAGGAGCCCGTGAGTGTGGTGATGTCTGGCACACGTGCATTCCCATGCACAGGAGCCCATGAGTGTGGTGATGTGTGACACACGTGCATTCCCATGCACAGGAGCCCGTGAGTGTGGTGATGTGTGGCACACATGCATTCCCATGCACAGGAGCCCGTGAGTGTGGTCTTAGTGCAGCACTTGTGTGTTCATCTGTGTGGAGCAACAGGGAAAGACTATGTGCCCCTCTATCACTCTCTTCCTCATTCCTTTGAGGCACTTCTCTTCCGGAAACGGGAGCTCACTTTTCCGCTAGGCAAAGTCAGCAACCCCAGCAGCCCTCGTGTCTCTGCCTCCACAGCACTGGGTGTCAGGCGCACACTAAGCCCTGCCCAGCACGTTCCCTGTGGACATGGATCTGAACCCAGGTCCTCATAGCTTTGCAGCAAACATTCTTAACCACGGCTCCATCTTTTTATGTAAACGGTTACAATAAAGTAACCCACACTAGCTCGGAAATTCTGCCTCTCGAACTTAAAACATTAAATTCACGAAGAGCAGGGTTTGCAAATTAGGTACTTTGTCTAAATCCTGCAGTTTCCCACGTACCTGAATAATTGGTGGATTTTCGAGATAAAGATGTTAACTCTAATGGATTGCACTAACACCTTCCAAAGCTTATACCTGGTATTTTATTTCATATCATGTCCTTTCTCACTTGAAAAAGGTGAATGGAAAGGAAATAGGGTATAAATTCTGTCCCCTTTATCTTAAATACCAATGACTAACAAGGAACTAATTATACAAATGCTATTTTTAATGAGGCTTGTTCTACATACTCATGTTTATACCTGGAATAAGAAGTTAATATGTTGCAGATTCCCAAAAAAAAAAACAGTAATTTTTCCCTTTTGCGCCACATATTACCTCACAGCCCTAAACTCCATAAATGTCAAAGTGCGCACCATATCACAGCGTAGCCACAAACTCCATAAGTGGCAAAAGAAAAGTGTTCCTTTGTGATAAAAATCATTTGCTTTGTTGTTACAGTACAGGCTGACGAAACCATGGACGCTATTTTGGTAAACCAACAACAAAATCTACGGAAGACAGAGGCTAAGTTTGTAATTTAAAAAGTCATTCTTGGAAGTAGCCTTTCTATATGCAAACAGGGATTGTGATAATGAGTCAGGAAAACGATTCCATTCATAAAAGCTTAAAAGGAAAGCATTATCTCAGAATAAACCTAACCAAACAAGTCAAAGTCCTCTACAATGAGCATTTAAAACACTAAGGAAATTCATTAAGACAACAAGCAGGAGAGGTAGCTCAGGTGGTAGCGTGTTTGCCTGGCACTCAGGAAGCCCTGGGTTCAGTCCCCAACACATAAGCCAGGTGTGGTGGTGCATGGAGCTGGAGGGGTTTGGATACACAAAACACACATGAAGACAATGATCAAGACACAATTTCATAGCCAGCCTCTCCTCTGATTATTCAAAGTAGCATGACCCAAGTATTTCCGAAGCACAGCCAAGTTTGTCTTTTGTCTGTCATTACTTTATACAAACGCACCCCAGAGAAACAATCCATTGTTTGCCACTTCTCTTGGGGTGCAAGACTGTAGGAAAATGGGAAACAAATGAAGAAAGACAAAACCCCTGCGTGCTGGTGTTCAGCTGTAGCTCCAGCACCTGAGAAGATGGGGCAAGGGGATGGGATCCCGTCTCCAAAACATGAGGGCAGAAAGCAGACCTGTCAGACGGCTCAGCGGGTAAAGGCATTTGCCTCCAAGCCAGAATACCTGAATACCCACAACTCCCTCAAGCTGTCCTCTGACTTCCACACACGTGTGCACACACGAATACACTTCAAAGCAGCAATCACATTCTCACTAGTTACAGATGAGGAGCAGTAGGCGACCACAACATAACTATCTATGTATTTTTAAACAGCTTTGCTTAAAATCTGGTCCTGGAGGTTAAAGATATGCTCTCCCTTCCCTGGCAAGCCATTCCAGCCTCCTACTTAGGGTCCCACTGGTTTTCTAGGTAGAGGGGTATTTCTCTGTCTCTCTTCTCTAGTGTGGACATCTTCCCCTTTGGCAGCTGACTATATCTCTAGCAGTCCTGTGTCTTGTGGTGCAAAAAGGAAAAAAAAATTTAAACTTGATGACAAATTCATTGTGAAAAGCAAAACCCCTTTGACGGCTGGCAGCTCACTGCTCTGGAAAATTCCTTTGCTGTCAATCTCATATTTCTAAGACTGACGCATCCACAACCGTGACACAGAGTTCTGGTGACCATAGCGTGAGGCAACTTATCTTCTCAGTTCCTGGTGTCTTTACTGCGGAACTGTGGCAACCGAGGCAGGAGGATGCCTGAGCAATAAACAACCTGCTGACAAGACCGGCTGGCACTGTGGACATCACATGTCATGAGAGCCGGGAAAGATGAGATTATCAGCCCAGTTGTTACCAGAAGAACAAAACACAGCTCTTGTGAGAGATGTTGACCTACACATCCGCGCCAAGGCAGAGAAATTTGCAGATTCCTCTTAAATATTAAAAAATAATCTGTATAGTCAGAAGGGAAATGTTCCATTTTAATCAACCTTACAGACCTTAGGGACACAATAATACAAAAACAAATATTATGTTACACTCCATTCTTTTCGAGCTTAGCATGTGGCTTTCAGAAGCTAAATTATATATGAGAAGCAATGTTCATGTGCATACGATGGATCAGATTGGAATGATCCAAATGTAAAAATTTTATTATTTATGTAAAAATTCAGTGCACTGAGATGAAGGAGACCACTCCACTAAATGTGCCAAGAAGCATTAACCCTTCATAGCACAACCGTTTCTCAGGAACAAGAAGCAAATTGTTACCCATTTAATTTAAAGATGACAAGCCGCGGAAAGCACCTGACCTGGGAACACAACACTGTCAGCAGCTGTGATGTTCCTTTGCTGGGGTGTTCACTAGAGACCTCAGCAGGGTTGGTAGGTCAAAAGCTATGAGAAGCCAGACCAGTGATGTAAAGGCCAGGGACCCTGAGGCCGACAGACCAATACTGCCAGGTAACAGGCAACAGGAGGTGGAGGGCCAGATCTGCAGGCCTCCCTCCTGAGCCTGGATCAACATCTGCCACCTCTCTTGGGCTATGCTGGTGTCTACAGACCCCTGGCACTCTGTCTGGGCATCTCAAATGAATCTCTCTAGGCTTGGGGATGCAACTCGTGGAGCTGTATCCAGCGAAGAGCCTGGGCTTGATGGCAGTTCAGAAAGAAAGGAAAGAGTATGGGAGGGGAGAGAGAAAGAGGAGAGAAGGAAGTCATTCAAAGGAAGAGAGGGAGGGAGGGAGGGGGAAGAGGGGAGGGGGAGGGCGTGGGAGAGAGGGAGAGAGGGGGACAGGGCGTGAGGGAGGGAGGGAGGGAGGGAGGGAGGGAGGGACACAGACTTCAGCTTTCTGAATCCAAGTTCCCGCTCCTCTCTCTACCACATCCCAGGTCCACCTTGTTGACCCTAAGCATCCTAACTTTCGTCAGAAAGTCCTGTCACTGGCTTGGCTCTCAGCCCCACAGCCTAGCTGCAGCCACGCCCCAGCGGGAGCCCAGCCACACCTGCCACCGTACTCTAGCAGACCGTCCCTCTGTTCTCAGGGTTTACTGCACCTGTGGAATTTGCCCATCCTACGTTCCCCCCAAAGCCCTCAGGGTGTGAGGTGCTCGGCCTAGTGCGCTCCCTGTACTCCCTGAATTTGACAAGCTTATGGATTTCCTCCTCAGCTTATTAGCATGTGTTAAGTGCACATTATGACCTACACACCAGTGTGATGTACTCTGATCCTAGCCTGCTCCCCTCCCGCTATTCCCCTCCTCTGCCTCCAAGCCCTCCTTCTAATGCCATGTATGATTTCTATTGTTTTTGCTTTGTTGTTGTTAAACACATGTGCACACACACCTACATATGCACACATACAACCTGTTGAGTCCATTTAGTCCACTTGTATGTATATGTGTTGACCATTTGAATAAAACCAACGGGGGTCCTTTTCTAGAGGAAACCAATTCTTTGCTCAGCAGTGGCTAACTGCCCGTAGTTCTCAGTACCCATGGCTAGTGAGGAGACCAAGAGGAGACTGTGCAACTGACACTCTCCTAAATCAGCACAGTGCCTAGCTGCACTCTCAACATTTTACCCTTATATGCTCACATGAGGGCTACTCTTAACCCTCGTCAAAGATGCTTCTTTCTGTAGCAGATGGATGCTGTTTCGGAAAGCCAAAACAGGCTAAAATACAAAGGGCCACTGCGTGTGGCTACCAGCACCATGGCTGCAATGAAACCCTACAAATGAGGCTCATGGAAAGTCACGGAAGAAAGGGTGGAAACATTTTAAGAGGCAGAGGTGTCTGCTGAGATGCCTTCTCTACTGGAGAGGGAGGTGGCACGTGTGTGAATCACAGGGAAGCTGCACACGTGTGGGTCACAGGGATACGCGCATGTGTGGATCATAGGGAAGCTGCACATGTGTGGATCATGGGGACGTGGTATACATGTGGATCATAGGGATGCAGCACACATGTGGATCACAGGGAAGTGGCACATGTGTGGATCACAGGGAAGCTGCACACATGTGGATCACAGGGACACACACATGTGTGGATCACAGGGAAGCTGCACATGTGTGGATCATGGGGATGCAGCACACATATGGATCACAGGGACAAACACACATGTGGATCACAAGCACACGCACACGTGTGGATCACAGGGAAACTGCACATGTGTGGATCTCAGGGAAGCTGTACATGTGTGGATCACAGGGACACACATGTTTGGATCACAGGGAAACTGCACATGTATGGATCAAGGGAAGCTACACACGTGTGGATCACAGAGACACACACATGTGCGGATCACAGGGAAGCTGCATACATGTGAATCAAGGGGAAGCTGCACACGTGTGGATCATGGGGATGCAGCACACATGTGGATCACAGGGAAGTGGCATATGTGAGGATCTTTACGCTGCCCCAGCTTATGTATCACAGAGATTATTCATCATACACTCCTTTATGATCAGTCACGCTCCTAAACATGGGGAAGCATTCAACAAGCTCATGTTGACTGAAACATAAAAAATATAAATTCTCAGACAAATGCTGTGCGGGAGGGTCTCCAGGTGTGAGTGCAGGTCACTGGCCAAGCCTGGAAAAGTTTGCTGACATGAAATCCTAAGGAAGATTGGGAGAGGTGCTGCTTTCAGAAAAGAAAAACAGAGCGGGTTCCGGATTCTTTAACAGGTAGGAAATCGGTTGGTAAGGCTAGGTGTGAGCCTAGGGCACGAGCCTTCAATAAGAGTTAGCTGGGATGGGCTGGAACGACATTTGCTAGAGCCTCCCTGGTGATCGGCATCCTACACAGAGACTGAGCTGTTTAGGGAATACATAAATAGAACTTCTCAGGCTCAGTGGGTCCCATTTTGTGAATGGAATGGATTACATTATCCACCGAGGCCATGCTGGATGGATAGAAGAAAACCTCTTCTTCCCTCAGGATGAGCAATGAGATCTGGGTACTGATGGGAACTCTCTGGGAGGTGGAGGAAAGGACAAAGAGAGGAGGAAGACGGTATGGAGACCTCCTCCAGGAAAAATACCGCTCCCAGTACTGCGGAATCCAAACACCTGTCAGAACATGCTTCACTAGAGAGAAAAACTAAGACAGGTTCAAACCAGAGGAAAAGGGTTAGCATTCCCTACTCAGAAGATTAATAAAATAAGTAAAGGTTTGCTCTAATTTAGTCACCTAAACAGACTTCATTAACAACATACATGTAGCTACACTGCTTCAACTGTTTACTTATTTATAACAAAAAGGACATATCAGTGTTTACCCAGACTCTATGGGCTAGCTTCAATGGAACCTGTCCTCAGACTAGAACCAAACCCCATGGTCTCTAACATCCTCCCACCTATATGATATGTGTGTATGGGGGGTTAATGAATATGTGGGGGTGTTGTTTGGTGCATATGCCAACATACATGTCTGTGGAGGCCAGGGAAAGACATAAATGTCCCATTTCTATTGCTCTCCATCTTATTCCTCTGAAACAGGATCGCTCATTGAACCCAGAGCCAGGTTGGCAGTCAACAAAGCCAGCAATGCTTCGATGTATATCTCTCACAGTTCCGGGGTTCTACGTGCACTGAGTATACGTGGTATACTGTGGTATACTGGAGATTCAAACTCAAGTCCACACTGGGCAGCAAAAGCTCTTGCCTACTGAGCCATCTTCCCTCCCCATGTGCTTTTCTCTAAATGAACTGGTGAACGGGAAGTCCCCCCCACATGTGTGCACATGTGCATGTGTTTCATGTGTGTGCATGTGTTGTATGTGTATGCGTGCTGGCTTGCAAGCTCTAAGGCAGTGGTTCTCAAGCGGTGTGCTGAACGACCCTTTCACAGGGGCCGCCTAAGACCACTGGAAAAGAGTTACAACTATGAAGTAACAACAAAAATGATTTTATGGTTGGGGGTCACCACATCAGGAACTGTACTAAAGGGCCGCAGCATTGGAAGGCTGGGAACCACTGCTCTAAAGTAAAAACTTATAAGTATATTTTTTAAAAAAATTATTTTGAGACACTTTCAAAAGGCCCAGGCTGGCCTTGACATCGCCATGCGGCCTAGGCTGGCCTTGAACTCCTCATCTTTCTTCTACCTCCTAAGTGCTGTCATTAAAGGCGTGTGTCACCACAGTTGGCTTCCTATGCTCCCTGGAATAAAACCCAGCCAGGGCCTCACACAGGCCGAGCAAGTTCTCCAGCTGTGATCCGGCTCCATGCATACATGAAGGAGTTTAGAAACATTTGTGTGCACTGGGGCCGTACTCACCGCTTTCCGCTTGAGGATGCAGTCCAGCCTCCAGCGGTTGCCTTCCACCACTGGACGCTTCAGGAAGATTTCTGGGCTTAACCTGAAGTCACAAAAAAAAAAAAAGGAAAGGGATTGAAACAAAAGAGGAAATTCACTGTGTCACAGACCAGACTTAGACACATGCCGTTAAGTCTGCCCTGTCAGATCTCTTCCCCAAGGCTATGAGAAACTCATGGAAGAAACTATGTCCAATCAAAAACAATTCAAGATCCATACTCTTAATCTCAACATTTGGGAGGTGAAGACTGCAGGATCACAAGTTCAAAGCCACACAGATATAAATGCAAGCAAAACACCTGTGCACATAAAATAAAAAGAAATATTTTTTTTAAAAAAATCGAAGTGCTTACTAAGAAATGTATCAAATTGTACATATAGGGCCCTAATGGAGGTTGGTGAAATGGCTCAGTGAGTAACAGCCTGACAGCCTGAGCCCGATCCCAAGGATCCATGTGGTAGAGGAGAGGCGGCTCCTGCAAGTTGTCCTCTGTCCTCAGCATGGTGCTGGGGCACACGCAGAACACACGCATACACACGCAGAGCACACGCATACACACACATAGCACACGCATACACACACATAACACACGCATACACACACATAACACACGCATACACACACATAACACATGCATACACACACATAACACACGCATACACACACATAGCACACAATTTTATGAAGAGCTCTATGTGGATCGGTACAAAACACTACTAAAAATTTTAAATCAACTATGCAATGCTTGTTAACCAAAAGGCCCAGTGAAGGGCAGAAAAGGAATCTGAATTACATGTAATCGATTTATTGGTGATTTGATCTGGAAGGAAAATCTCGAAATGGGATTAGCTGAGAGAAGTCCAGTTCCAGCTTAACAAGAAAGAACAGGATGGCCTGCAGAGGCCAGGGCAGCAGCAGGGAGGCCACAGACACAGAGGAATCCAGTTAGAGCAGAACTGAGCCCCCAAGAGGGTGACCTAAGTTCACAATGGCTCCTTCCGTTGGCCCTGTTTCAGGGTCACATGTTAGGGTTGGGTGAGTCAAAATTCCCATTTCAAGCGAGTGTACTAATAAGGAAAGTTGTGAGGAATTAGAAAACAGTTGGGCGACCGTGGAGAGGGGAGAACTCCGGAAAGCAGTCCCATGAAGCTGTTGACGGTCTCCTGGCTCCTTCACAAGCTGTTCCCTCGGGGATTTGACTACAGCAAAATTCATCTAAGGAGTTTGAGGAGGAACCAATAGGTTGCGGCCATGTCCCAGATCGACCACCAGGTGGCGCACATTATATAGCTCAGGCAAGAGCAGAGCACAGGCCCGGGAACTAAAACTGGCTTTAAAACCCCACCCCTAGAGGATGGAGAGGTGGCCTGGCTATTAAGGGGACTTGTTGCTCTTGCAGAGGACCCAGGTTCAGTTCCCAGCACTCACAGATAATTCACACCATCCGTAACTCCAGTTCCAGGAAATCTGACACCCTCTTCTGCCTTAGCACAGGATGCATGCCAGTGAACACTCATACACAAAAAACTGAAACAAGGCTACAAAGAATTGTTAAGCATCCCAAATGCTGCTTGGAACTTTCTGCCTAATCCAAATGAGGCCATTGCCAGCCAAAGAAAACACTCTATTAAAAAAATAAATAAATGTCAGGTGGTAGAGTCACACGCCTTTAATACTAACAGGCTAGAGGCAGAGACAGGAGAATCTCTGTGTGTTTGAGGCCAGACAGAGTGAGTGCCAGGGCTACAGAGAAATTCTGACTCAAAAGGAAAGAAAAGAAAATATTGCCCACAGATTTAAGTGAGATTAAAAGTCTTACATCATCATGTTAATTTTTCTAGAATAAAATTTTTAAAAAATACTGGGCACACAGCAACAAAAAAAAATCAATTTGCATGAAATAAATACCAACAATAGGTATCGTAGATGCTGATATTGTTACTATTTACTTTACATGTATTTAAAATCTCTCTCTCTCTCTCTCTCGTGTGTGTGTGTGTGTGTGTGTGTGTGCACAATGTACATTTGGAAATCAGAGGACAGAGGACAATTTGTACAAGTCAGTTTTCTCCTTTAACCATGTAGGCTCCAGAACTGAATCTTGTCATCAGGCATGGTGGTGGCAAGTGCCTTTGCCCACTGAGTCATCTTCCTGGCCTGATTATCTAGTTTAATCCCTTAGCAGATATAAAAATACAACTATATGTAAGAACAAACAGGGAGAGGAAAACCCTCAGGGAAACGGATGAAATCCAGAATCAGAAAATTCTTAGATAAAAAGACAATCACCCCAAAAATAGGAGAAAAAAATTACCAGGCTTCACATCATAAGCTCAATACCAGAACGAAGGTTATGAAGGTAGCTAAATAGAAATAAGCTTCTGCTGATGTGGGCTGGGGAGGTAGCTGGTGGGTACAAGGATTGCCACCAAGCCTGATGACCTGAGTTTGAGGCCTGGAACTCATGTAGTGAAGAGAGAGCACTGATGCTTGCATGTTGTCCTCTGACCCCTACATGTGGTGGTGTGGCACATGCATGTGTACATACAAACCTACACGTGCACACAAAATAAATAATAAATGTAAATTTAGAGAAAAAGAAATTATCCAATACAACATCCAAGAGAGAAAATATTTTAAAATATGAAGCTAGTCTTGGAGACAGTAGGAAGGACTGTCTACATAGTGGAACCTTTAGAAGAGGAAATTGGTTTGTTTGGTTTTGTTTTTTGAGACAGAGTTTCTCCATAGCTTTGAAGCCTGTCCTGGAACTTGCTCCATAGACCTGCCTGGCCTTGAACTCACAGCCTGTCTCTCCTCCCAAGTGCTGGGAAAGGCATGTACCGGCACCGCCTGGCAGAAGAGGAAATTTTCATGTGTGAAGAAACAATGGCAAGACAGTCTCAAATTTGGCTAGAGACATAAGACAATACATTCAAGAAACTCAGATAAACTCCCAGGTCACAACCCAACTGCTGAAAACCAAACAGTTGGAAAAGTTGGAAAGCACTAAAGAGAAAAATAGTTTATTGCTGAAATTTCCTCTCCAGAATACTGGAGGCCAGAATGAAATGTGCTATTTAATTAGAACACACAAGATCCTGGATAATTAGGCCGGATGGTGGTGGCACACGCCTTTAATCCCAACTCTCACGAGGCAGAGGCGGGCAGATCTCTGTGAGTTTGAGGCCAGCCTGGTCTACAAGAGCTAGTTCCAGGACAGGCTCTAAAGCTACAGAGAAACTCTGTCTCAAAAAACAAAAAGCAAAAGCAATAAAAGAAAAGAAAAGAAATCCTGGATAATTAAGACAGTCGAATACAGAAGAAATTCTCCAGAGCCAATGGGAGAGGAGAGGGACAAGGGGATGGCTCTAAAATAGTAAACAAGAATCCAAAAAGTACATTGGTGCGGGAGAATTATCTGTATTCTGTCAATCATGTATTTTAATAAAACGCTGATTGGCCAGGCAGGAAGTATAGGCAGGTCAACCAGACAGGAAGTAGAGGCGGGGCAATGAGAACAGGAGTATTCCAGGAAGGAGGAAGTCCCACCACCACTCCTGTGCAGACCACCGAAGAGGTAGCATGTAACCTAACCAGCTGAGAAAGGTACTGAGCTGTGTGGCTCACATAGATAAGGATAATGGGGTAACAAAAGTTATAAGAGCTAATAAGTAGCCTGACCTAATGGGCCAATCAGTTTATAACCTTATGGAGTCCTGTGTGTGATTTCTCTTTGGGATTTGCCGGTTGTGGGGTACCGGGCGGGACGGAAACCCCAGCAAGCCAGCTCCGTCGTGTTACAGTACATTGTTTAAAGGAATCACTGATAATAAATAAACAAACAAATCAGTAAAACCATAAGACACTTTACATGTACTCCAGGATAATGGCCCCTGAGGATTCCCTTCGCCCGAGAGGAAGGTCCTGTAGGGCTTCACTTCAAAATGCGTGCTACCGTAAGTAAGATATGTGCCAGGGCTGTGGCCGGAACAAACAGCACCTAATTCCCTCTCCTTCGGAAAGTACAGCAGAAATCACATAGGTTCCAGCTCCGTAGCTGTTTAAGTGGAAGTCTGAATTTTACCATCCGGAACCTCCAAAAGAGACGCTTCTTTCTTGCAGGAAAATATGGCATCGTTGGAAAAGCTCCTTTCTCTCGTTCGTGTCCTGGCTGAAGTTTTAGGGGTATTTTGATGAATATATGAACATTGAGCTTTGGATGTACTTTCCTGACTTCTGAGAAACTATTCAGTATTTGGCAATAACTAAAGACTATCTGATTGTCATAAAGGGGATCTGCTATTGACAGCTAACTGGTCAAAGCCACAGGTACTGCAGACAGACATCTATGACAAAGAATCATCTCTCTCAAAACGTCACTAGCACCAAATTGGAAAGAGGACCCCGATCTACAGATTTCTATAGAACTGAAGGGAACCAGAAAATGGCTTCCCATGTCCATTGCTCTCCCCCGTCTCCTGTCTAGGACTAGAAGAATACCCATGTCCATTGCTCCCCCTCTCTTCTAACCTAGGATTAGAAGAATTTCCATGGAAGTATCTAGAAATAAAAATGGGAATATAGAAATGTAGGTACCAGAAATGAGGATGTAGACGTTAGAATGAAGAAAGACATAAAGTTGTAACCCTAAGCGACAGCAGTAAGCAGCAGTAAGCAGCAGTAAGTTATTCCTCAGCTGCTTACGGAGCCGTTAGCAGCGGTGGTTATTTCATTTTACAACTGGCTGCTCTGAAGCATCCCTCTGCAAACTGAGAGTCAGCCCTAAGATAACACCACGGCCATCCTGATTAACAACGGAGATAGCTGAGTTAACCTTCAGAGGATGGGGTGGACGTGACTTTTCGGTTATGCATTTTCCCTGCTATGTGAAACTGGCAGCGTTAGGGAGGTGCAGAGCTTTGGTAAAGACAATTAGGGAGAGCCAGGAAGAAACAATGGATTAAATACAAACCTAGCTTAACTGAGAAACTCTGTTAATGAAAATTGTAAGGAAAGGCAATACATATCTGAGTTTTATGTCGAGATTGTAAAAATTCCTTTGTTCATGTTTAATGCTTCTTATTTCTTGCTATAAAAAGGGGGAGTCCAGAAACCGACTTGTTCCACAGTTTCAGCCCAAACTCCGCTGTGGTCTCAGCTAGCTGACAAGCTTTTGTGCCCCGTGGTGTTTTATCTTTTTCTTTTTTCTGTGATAAGGTTTACTAGACTTCGGTGGTCTCTCTCCATCTTTGCGCCACCCTCGTGGACCTGACACCACGTCTATTTCTCTCCCTGTCTCCTAGTCTAGCATTAGAAGGAAACACACCCGGAAGGTGTTTTCAAGCTTCATCTATGAGTAATATCTGAAAGAAGTAAGATGGAGCTGAAAGCAAAATTTCAGAGCCAGGCATGGTTCATGTCAGAAATCCCCAGCACTTGGGATGCTGAGACAGGAGGACTGCTAGGATTTAAAGGCCAGCCTGGGCCAAACAGTGAATCCCACCAGTCTACCCGGGTTACAAAGCAAGCCCGTATGTCTCAAAGGGTAGAGTGCATTTAGAAAGTCACTTCAGTTTCTACAAGGACAGCATATTCCACCTCCAAATCAGCCAATGTCGGAATCTGTGCTGGGCTTCACCATTCTAAGATGACAGCAGCTGGAACTAAAGTTAGACTACAAACACCAAACCAACACCAACTCCACAGGTGGCATTCCCCAAGAACTCAAGAACTTTAGATAGGAGATTTCCAGTGACTTCGGTAAAGTGAGCATCGTGATGCCTGCGGGCATCTTCACAACGGGCGAGACAGTTAAATCTGATGGACAGCCAGAAGAGCTGCCCAGACCCAGTCCTTTCAACAGTGACAGCAAGAACAACCATTTCAGTGTCAAAGCAAAACTTCAGGAGTTGCTTCCTGGACCAAGTGAAGGACATGGTAAGAGATGGAAAGACAGCTAGAGAGGATGGGCCTTCCCGTCTCCACAGCCACTCTTCCACAGCAACACAAATGTTTGCATGTCTGCTTCCAAGACCACTCACATTAAATACTTTACGGAGATATTTGCAATAGTTAACAATGGTTGTCCGCTTAAGAGAGTCTGGAATCACCTTGGAAACAAAGCCCTGGGCAGGTCTGTGAGGGAGTTTTGACATTGGGTTAGCTGAAGTGGGAAGGCTTGCCCTAAATACAGGAGAGCATCATCTATGGGCTGGCATTGCAGAGTGGATAAAAGGGAGAATGTGAGTAGAACACAGGAGTTCACCTCTTCGGCTTCCCAACCATGCATACCAAGCCACAGCCCTCAGAGGCTGCCACCAGGTCTACCCACCACAGCATGATGGACGGACCCTCAAACAGCGAGCCAGACAAACTTTTCCTCCTTTATGCTATCTCTGCCATGGCAATTAGACAAGAGATCACTAGAGCATTTGGAAGTCTTTCTCTGGAGTCTATTTAGTTGACTGAGCCTTGGCCAATCCATCATGGCTACTGTGGACTTCCATAGTGTGGTATTCTCCCATAGCACATTTCTAAACAGAGATGCTTCCAGACAGCACTCCCCTGGACAAATACTAACCACCAGTCAGTGATGAAAATCTCCTCCATTGCCTCTTCCATTGCATTTGCGATATCTTCAAAGTAACCTTTGGCGTTCACATACCTGGAAGAAATAGGATTTGTTCCTTGGTTTCTTTTGATGCTTTTTTTTTTTTGATTTTATAAAACAGGACAAAAAAGAAAAACACACCCTAGGCCAAGGCAAAGCATGGAAAGCTCTGCCTGGTCTACATTCCCACCGTTTTCCTTTGGGTAACTGGAAACAAGATTGAAAACATGACCTTGTCTCCATCTATTACACAGGAAAGGCAGTCAGGAGACAGACCTGAGCAATCTCTGTTTAGACAGCAGCCTGTCAATCACTCTCATGGAGCCTCCTTATTACACAGGTTTGAGCCTACAAACAGACCAGCTCATATCCATGGGGGAAAAATAAATGATTTAAATACAGCCCCATTTTACCTTTAAGAGATATAGGAAGTTACACTTTGCTTTTCTTTTTAGGACTGGGACTTGGGTATCTTAGACTGGCCTCTGGCTCATTATGAAGCCAAACATGACCTTAAGGTAATGATCCACTTGCTTCCCCTTCCCAGTTGCTGGGATTATAAACTATGCCATCATGTCTGGTTTTACGGGGTAGTACGGATTCATGCATGCTAAGTAAACACAGTAACTGTGCCATGGACCCAGTCTTGAAGCGGATCTTAAAAACCAGAGTTCTACCTAGGTACAGTGATACAGGCTTGCAGTCACAGCCTGTGGGAGATGAGGCAGGTGGATTAGAAGTTCAAGGTCCATCTAGGTTTCACAAGACCCTCTCTCACAAAACAAAGCAAACATCAAAATCTAAAGGCCTGTAAGCTCACTATTAAAGATGGTCAAAAAACAAAATTGAAGCTGCAATCTTATCTTTAAATATGATCCATCAGTTGAGCAAACCACTGGTTTAGTTTTGAGGCTGATTCCAGGTAAATTTAAGCCATTATAACACTAGATGAACACCTGTGAGCAAAACACCTCACCATTTAGCTAATGTGTTGTCGTGGACCGCAGCATAGGAACCAAAGCGATGGTCTTTGAGAAAGTCCGTGCCATGCTTCTGAATGAACTCTTCTATGGCTCCTCCCCACCACCGAGCGTGCCGGTAGCTGTTACATTTCAAAATCAGTGTCCTTTAAAGAAAAGCAAACATGGGCATTGAGGGTTTACTCTGAGTTCTAGCTCTTAAAACAAATTTAAAGATGAAGCATGCCGCATCAAACAGGAATTGACATTTCTAGGTAATGAACGTTTGGAAAAGCAAGCTTCTAAAACACCTCGGTAGAGTTCCTCACAAGGCTCACTGGTCAGAACTTCCTGGTCAGGCTCCCTGCTCACTCCAGCGTGCAGGCACATGGGAAGGGGTTTGATGTAGACACTGAACCGTACTAGGGGATGAGAAGGGTTGTGGGGCAGGTACAGAGTGAGGGAACACTTCTGTCAGAGTTGCTGGTCCCTTTGCACTGACCACCCCGACTTCTGCTGTCCTTGGGAGAGATCTCCTTTCCTTCCTGAAAGCCAGCAGAGCTATGCAAAATAGTATCCCCCACTCCCCTAGTCCTAGTAGGCTGGGGCAAGGGCACAGAAGTTAGCCCCACCCCGTGAGAGTAGATCTGAGAACACAGCAGTGTGGGAAAAGACTCCCTCCCTCCTGCTGAGTGTGCTGTGAGGGTGCTGAGCAGCCATCTTGTGGTAGAAGGGGACCCCGCTGAGGACAAGGCAGGTTCCAAAGCTAAGGAAACCTAGAAAATGTGTCTTAATGATGTAGGTTAGCTTGAGAATTAATCACTCCACATGGCTAATTAATTTGCTCTGGAATAAGTCCATTTGCATCTATCACTTGAGCAAGTTACTTTAGCCTGTTATAGAATTAAAAATATTGGGAATAAATTCTGGGGGATTACAAAAAAAAATTTATGCCAAGTGTCAGAACAAATGGCTATTAACAAGAGTGAAAACAGTTACTGGAACTGAAGTTCAAAGGGCAAGGCGCTGTTCTATGCTTCCTGACAATAGAAATGGTACTGAGTGGGAAGCAGAGCTTCATTTCCATTTGAATGCATGGTGGGCGGGGTATACGGCTGTTCTCATGGAGAGCAAGGGAGGGGCCATATGCACAGATTCTATAATTATTTATAAGGATCGAGGGTGCCCAAATAGTTGCTCTAGATATATCACAGATGGATGTTGGCCTTTGAAAGCTTCTGTCCAGCAGAAGGCTGGTGGGTGTGGGGATAGGGAGGTGAGAGGGGCTGGGGTGGGAAAGAAGCCTCCCCAGCAGGTATAGCAATGGAGTCATGAGGAGCAAGAGGGCTCGGAAGTTGCCTGGGGTCAGCCTATCCTTGGGACAAGATGTCCTGAGAAGATGGTTGTGTGGAAGAGATGAGTATCACCAGAGGGCTAGTGGTGGAGGAGGGAAACTATTCCAAGCACAGAAATGGAATGAGGGCCGGCCAGATGACTCAGCAGACAAGAGCATGGCAGGGCAAGCCTGCTGACCTTAATCCCACCGCTGGGACCCATGTGAAGAGAGAACCAGCTTCACAGAGTTTCCCTGTGACTTCCACATGTATGAAGTGGCACTCATGCACCCTTATTCACACATGTATATAATAATAATAATAATAATAATAATACTTTAAAAAGGGGGAACCAGTGAGGTGGTTCCATGGGTAGACATACCTGCCATCAAGGGAGGGAGTTTGATTCTCCAGTTTGATCCATTTCCTTTCCAGTGGAAGGAAAGGAAATGACTGACTCAACACATACACAATAACTACACAACACATACACACAAATAAATGGGTGTATAAATAATAGAAGAAGCAAGAGGGAAGAGGCAAAAATAAATAAATACATGTGTGAGAAGGGTTATAAAGAGAACTGCCAACACAGAACCAAAAGGCTGTAGCAGGAGTGTCTACAAACAGAGATAAATAACTCCAAGACAATGGAGAAGCTGGTCTTGCTCGCTAAGATGACAAGGAACACTTCTGCCTGGAGGAGCCTGGAGAACCTTGGATTCAAATAGATCCACTTGGTGTGGGGAGTGGAGATATGGCGGATAATAACAAACACATTTCAGTAACATCCTGAAAGTTACCTTCTGAAAGGAAAGTAGGAAGCTCAATATTGTTGTACCCCATATCACCCTACATACATGCACATACACAAGCATGCATGTACGTATCATACAAGCATACATGCAATACTGTACAAATATGTATTAGGAGAGATATATATGCCTGTTGTAACTGTGTAAGGAGAATTTATGAATATTCATATGGATGAGAGTGATTACACAAACATGCACACACATACACACACACGCTTTTTCAAGGTATGATTATAGTCTGCCAGAAAGAAACCTGCACATTAACACATAATGTAATTGTGAGTAAAATATATAATACATGTACATTTCATCATCTCTTCAAGATATCTTTCTCAAAAGCTCTATGCAGACAAAATTTTACAGATCAAATCACTTTAAAGATGTTCATATCAAAATATATTAATTTATAAACTATATAAAACTATTATTCTAACATGCAAGCTGCCAATTGATTCATTCAACAAACTGGTAGATGAGTTGACAAACTTTGGTCTCCAGCTCCAGGAGATCCAATATCCTCTTCTAACCTCTGCAGGTCCTGTATTAATTCACATGCTCATTGCTCACACACATGTGCGCGCGCGCGCGCGCGCGCACACACACACACACACACACACACACACACACAGTTCCATTACTTCTAATTGAGGATGAGCTCCAAGCAACAATTATGAACATTTAAATCTAATTTACTCCTTTTTCATAGGTGAGGCCTTGAGGAAGGGAGAAATATGTTTTAAACATTAGAAATTTCTACCTTGAAAGATTATCAATTCGAAGTCCGTATTTTGTCTCTGTTTCTTTTCTTCCCACTTTTATTCTGAATTCTTTGTCTACGAGGAGGACAAAGGCGATGGCCCCACTGTCCGGCTTCATGTACAGCAGGAAAGAATCCTTCACTATTAACCACCTGGAAGAAGACGGCAGCAGCTTTCAAAGCTGAGTAACTGAAGCCAGTTACAACTCAAGTCGTAAGAAAACACTCTGGAAGATCACGGATATAATGTCATGTCTCACCTGACGGATTATTTGTGCCTTTTAAAGATCACCATGAAACAGGAGCTAGGGGCGAGGCTCAGTGGCATACGTCTTGCCTAGCACGTACAGAGTACTGGATTTAATTCCCAGGAGGGAGACTAATTACTACAAAACAGGCCTTCTGGTTGTCCTTCTCTGTGTGTGGACACCATGCAATCAAAAAGAATTAATTCATTCCTGGAAGAACGTCCCCGATGTCAACAGGAAGCACTGAAGAGCCCCTTGCTGAAGAATAGAGCGAGGCAGTGTTTGCTCACATAAACTACCTTAAATGCAGCTGACTCTAGAACATTTAATAACTACATCTAACACTCCACATATTCTGTTGTTCACTTCAAAATATTTCTGGTTTACGGATTGTTAATGAATAATTTTCAACAGTATAGAAGTAGCTCTCAAAACGGCTCCATTCAATGCAGCACTCAGAGCTTCATAATGGAGTAGAGTGGCAAAGTGGATGTCAGCATAAACGCCGTCCAAACAGAAAACATTCAAATATTTGCTCCCAGAGTGCGGGTGCCCTCCTCTGGGGGGTAGAGCTCAGAATGGGATCCTTAGGATCTTTGACAACACTCCTGGGGCTACGACTCCAGCACCCTTGCCATCACAGTGCCGGAGTCTCCCCCACATCATCCCGATCACCCTAGATCCAAACAACATCTGCTACTTCTCCACTTCCATATGACCTCATTTCCCTCAGAGCTCTGTGAGCCCAAGGGCTTGCTTCCACCGTGGCTAGCAGCTTTAGTGAGAATTCATTCATGGACTTATTTAAAAGGCGGGATTCTCCTGCTGTGTATACATTTTATTTGTATCAATGTAAGATGCTGGAATCTTGTAGAGTGTTTTAGTTTGGTAAGGGACAGTACACCACTGTCGCACTGTTCAGTTACTGACTGATTCCTTCAGTCATTAGTTCCTGGCATGTATGAGTCATCCCAACAAGGTGGTGCTGACCACTGATGACTCCACTGACTCTTCCAGTCTGGTCTGCTCACCAGCTGCAGAACTCTGGCAGCCCAGAGCTTCTGGGAAGAAAAAAAAAATCACCGGGGGTTTAAAGCATCAGTGTAGGAAGATGAGACAGGCAAGTAGTGAATGACTGAGGGAAAGAGGAGTGACCGGCAGAGCCACAGGAGGCTGGGAAACCCACCTCCAGAAGCCACCACTGAAGAAGAGATGCCCTGGCGGCCAAGTCCTGCAACTTCATCCTTTTCCTGCTTGCATGGCTAGCTTGTGGTACCCATGATCCTCGGGAGTTCCCATCCCTGCTCTTTCTACCTGTCTTCCTCTGATACTGCTTCCCTAACAAACTCCCTTGTACCCTTAGTAAACCTCTACCCAGTGTTCTGTACAGCTGAGGGTAAGAAGACAAAAGCAAGTCTCTGGCTTTCCCATACCACTGCTTATATTCTAAGCAGATGTGAGGTCATGTTTGAGAGCTGGGCGTGGTGGTAAACATCTGGAATGCCCTATGTGGGAAGGGGAGGAAAGAGTGCCGAGGATATTTGTATACTGTGTGAAGATGCATGGCTGTGATTGGTGTAATAAAAAAAAAAAAAACCAAACGACCAGTAGCTAGGCAGGAAGTATAGGTGGGACTTCTGGGCAGAGAGAGAACTCTGGAAAGAAAAGCTGAGGCACCAGCCAGACACGGAGGAAGCAATACGGAGATGAGGTAACAAACTATAAGCCAGAATGCAGATTAAAAAAATATGGGTTTAGGCTAGGCGGTGGTGGCGCATGCCTTTAATCCCAGCACTCAGGAGGCAGAGGCAGGTGAATCTGTGAGTTTAGCCAGGTGTGGTGGTGCAGGCCTTTAATCCCAGTTCTAGGAAGGCAGAGGTAGGTGGATCTGTGTAAATTCAAGGCCAGCCTAGTCTACAAGAGCTACCCAGACTCAAAAACTACAGAGAAACACTGTCTCGAAAAAACAAACAAACAAACAAACAAGATTAATTTAAGTTATAGGAACTAGTTAGGAACAAGCCTAAGCTAAGGCTGAGCATTCACAACTAACAGGAAGTCTCTCTACTGTTACTTGTGGCCTGGTGGTTCCAATAAGAAAATACTGTTACAACCAGGAGTTCAGGGTTCACCTAGACACACAGTGGCTGAGTCCAGACTGGGCTACATCTCAAAACAAAACAAGCAAAGAGAGTATCTAAACACCCAGATGCTCAGTGTATTCAGTCACATACACAGAACTCGCGAGTCCTACCTTTTTGACCACCGGTAGCAGGCTCTTCCCTGGCCACAGCAATTCAGACCTGGTATCCTGTGTCCCCCGGACCTTTTCATGATCATCCCTTCCCTGAAGGAGATACCACACCAAGTCATGAAATTCACATGTACAGTTCACACAGGCCTTGCTCAGCCAGCCCCACAGTCAGGGACTGTATAAACCGTCTCACGTAACTCCCTCCCCACCCCCACTTCCTCATTCCTTCCTTCCCCCTCCCCTTGGTCACTGCTCTCTATCAGGTAGGGCCCACCAGCAGAGATTCTTACAGACACTTGTTCAAATGTAGCCCTTTCGGCCTTTGTGGACCAGTGATTCTGTCGAGCACAATGTAGGATCTTTGCACCCTGGCTCCCAGATCTTAAGGATAAATCCTCCCTGCAGCCACGGTGGCTGCAGCTGAGATGGGGTTTGAGGCCCCCCAGGGTCTTACACATCTCCACACGGCATCACACACAGTGATCAATCGAGCCACTTGAAGCAAGGAGACCAAAGCTACTGGCTATGCAAAGTGGGTTATTTTGCTGGGCATGGTAGGCCATTCCTATCAACCCAGCCTTAGGGTAGTAGAAACAGGGGAATCAGTAGTTCAAGGTCATCCCAAGATGCATAAAAGAGTTCTAGGCAAGCCTAGGCTACACGAGACCCTGTCTCAAAACAAAGAAAAACTTAACATCTTAATTTGAAAGATGTGCAATAACAATAACTTAAGAGAAATAATACTGAAATAGCTACGAGCACTGTGCTTAACTCGAATTAAAAGTGTACGTTGTGGGGCTGGAGCAACGGCTCAGTGAGTAAAAACACCCATTGCTCTTGCGGAGGACCCAGCACCCACGTCATTCGGCTCACAGCCACGCCTAAGTCCAGGGACCAGACGCCCTCTTCTGAACTCTACAGAGGCACCTGCACTTGTGTGCACAGACCCACGCACAAACATACATGCACGCACAATTAAAATTAGTAAAAATAATGATGGAAAAGAGCAAGCCCTTTGTACAAGCAAGCCCTAATATCGGAAGGAAAAACAGCCACTGAGTAAACTCCCAGTCTATTTATACAGCGCGTGTGACAAAGCGCTGCTCTGAAGTACTTAGGAAAAGGGGTGGGAACAGCTTGCGGAAGAGACTGGAGGAGGCATCTTACGCACTTGATCCTCATAGCTGGGAGAGTACTGACTATGGATACTGAGTGTTCCTAGGCCACCAGAAAGAGGAGATAGCTGCTGCCCCTGCTTCCTACAGGGGGCGCTCTGCTCCATGTGAGCATCTCACTAGTGGGGCGGGAGAAGTCCCAGGAAGGGAAGGGCAAGCTGCCCATCAGTGTCAGCAGCTGTGGCATCAGGCATCCATACCCACCAGCTTCCTTACACATTTCTGTAAAGACCCAACCCTGGAACTTACAGGCCTTTTGGTCCCAAATCATGGATGAAAGACAGCTGGCTGACATCAAGGAACTCTGTCTGAAAAAAAAGGAAAAAAGAAAAATGAAAGAAATCATAAACACTTTAGAAAACAAAGTAAATCAGAAGGAAAGAAAACATAGAAAACATCAGGTAGAAGGAAGGGAAGAAGAAGAAGAAAAACAAGACAGTCATGAGTTGCATAAGCCATGTATTAGGAGCCATTAGGTATAAATGCTTTGATGCACACCGTAATCCAGCTCTTGGGAGAAGGAATGAGGATCAGGCGTTCAAGGTTAAGCTTACTACACAGTAAAGTACATTCCAGGTCAGCCTGGGCTACATAAGACTCTGTTTCCGAAAAGAAAAAAACTGAAAAGGAATTGCATAATGAACACACAATGAAGAAAGTGCTGTGCACCACAGGGATGGATGGAGACAGAACACTCTGCAGACCGTAGAGGGCAGCTACTCCCAACCGCTGTTTTCCTTACCATTTTCATTGCCAGGGGAGAGGGTTTTGTGGTACCGTGTATAGAAAATAAGGCGCGCATGAAGAGAGGATGGCAAGGGTTCTAGAAGGTAGACTGGGGGCATGTGGAAGTGGGGGACGAGGGAAAGGACAGATGACAGAATGCGGTCGAGCTGCAGAGCAAAGATGGAGACCTGCCCTGAATCAAACCCCCTGGAGATCAAAGAGACCAGCAGCATGAGGTGCAGCAGAATTTCGCCCAGTGCTAGGGCTTGAGCCTGGGTCCTCACACACACCTGGCAGGAGCCCTACCACTGAGCCATGTTCCAAGGCTCTTTCCTTTGAGACGGACTATCCCTAAGTTATCCAGCTGAACCTGGGGTTACTCTGTGGCCCAGGCCTTGAACCTTCCTCCTCAAGCTCTGGAGAAGCTTAGCTTACAGATCTGAGCTACCAGCCCCACTGGTAGACTCACTTCTCAGTGAGTTGGGATGGAAGCTAATTGACTCTCGCGGATACCACTTACTAAGGGCTTTTTACATGTATTAAACGCTTCTTCACAATTCTCTTAAACATGCTTTAAAATTTTCCCAACAGAAAGGAGACTACGCTTAATAACAAGGGTAGGCGGAGCTTTTTGCGTCAAAACAACAAAAACAGACAAATATTTTGATCTCTGTGGGCCCTTGACCCTTTTTTACTAATGCCCAATCTTCCCCTGTGGTGTGAACACAGACTGGGGATACACACGTGGGTGTGGCTGTAGCAAGTAAAACTTCGTGAATACCAGATGCAAATAGAAAACCAGGTCTCAGCTACCAGGGGGTGAAATCTGGGGACCAGAAATTCGAAGTCATCCTGAGCTATATATTGAGTTCAAGGCTAGCATGGACTACATGAGGCCCTGTCTCAAGATAGAAATTAAGATAGAAATGAAGAGTCCAAGAATAAGAATTGTAGATTCACGAAATAAGGAGGTAGAAATAAAGAAGTACAAAGTTGTAAGCCTAGGAGAATGAGAGCAGGCTATCAGCGGCTTTCTCAGAAGTTTAAGGATTAACTATTAACAGTGGGTTACTCTGCTTTACAACCCATAGCTCTGTCTGCAGGGCTGAATTGGCCTCTGCAAACTGAGGGGCAGCTTTCAGATAACCCCGGCCACTCATGACTAGAAACTGATGTGAACTCAGTTAACTTTAAAAGATGGGATGTCCCTGACTTTTTGGTTGTGCATTGTCCCATGCCCTTCCCTGCTGTGAGAAACTGGCTTTATCAGGGGAGTACAGAGCTCTGGCAAACACCAGCAGCAAGCGCCAGAGAGAAGCAAAGGGCTAAATACAAACACTAGCCTAACTAGAAGACCCTGTTAGTGAAAATTATAAAAGAGGCAATTTGTTTCGGAGTTTTATCGCGAGATTGTAAAAATTCTTTTGTTCATGCCTAATGTTTGTTTCTTACTATAAAAAAAAAAGGAGTTCGGAAATAGCCCATCGCCACAGCCTTACAAGTCCACCTCTGGCTGTTGTCCCAGCTAGCTGCAAAGCTTTTTGTTCTCTGTAGAGATTTTTTTTTAATTTTTTACTTTTTCCTGGAATAAAGTTGGCTTCTGGTTTAATAGACTTTGGTGGTCTGTCCCCCATTTTTGCACGACCACCGTAGACTCAACAGGAAGGAAGGGAGGGAAGAAAGAAGGGAGGGAGGGAGGGAGGGAGGGAGAGAGGGAGGGA